TTAGTCCACAATTCTGCTGCATAACAGAGCACTGGGAGGAGTATTAAACCGAAAAGGTGAGCACAGGGTTTTGGGTTCGCCCATTGCTCGCTGGGTTCCTTGAGAGGCTCAAATGCGGTTCAGGCTGCTCTCTTTCTTCTGCTTAGTTCTTCCTTTATGTTGTTTTCCATATTCACTAGACGCCCATAGTACACAAACACACAAACGAGAAGTGGTTTTTGTACTCTGAAAAGCATGAAGCTTAATTTGTTTACCTTCGCACCGTGGTTTCTTCATGAAATGGGTCTTCGTCGTACTTATGCGCAGTCCAATGTTTTTTCCCGCTTCGTCGAGTTCATTGAGCATCGTCTCTGCTTCATTGGTACTCCTCAAAAGATGACGGTGTCACCTGTGAAACGAAGATTTAATAGCAATTTTCTATCAATACGTACACCTTCTTATCCCAGTCGAATAACTTCCTAGTCCACTTCAGTGCGGCAGTAAATGGCATTGTGTCGCCTTGTCGAACCCATTTCCTATGAGCACGATGAAGAGTCGGCGAAGAAGCTGTATATTTGTGCTGCAGTTCTGATAACAGTCTGCTAGTGTTCGTATATAGGACGGGTCCAGTTCTTGGCCGACGGGCGCTGATAGGGTAGCATTCGATTCAATATTGTCAGACGGCCTTCATAGTTGGTAAAGGTTAAGACTATAAGCAGTTTGTATTCTCGGCCAACTTTTATTACACTGGACACGGTTTATATGTGCTCCTTGGCAGCGGACTCTCTGTCGAAAACCCGCTTGCTCAACTAGTTGAGCCTCGTCCAAGGTCATCGATATGCACAAAAGGATAATCTGAGTAAACAACTTGTACAATACACTCAACAAGCATATTCACAACACTTAACGAGCATCTATTAGGTCAAGTTGAGTATATGTTGAGAGTGCGCCTCCACTGGTCTGGGATTTTCTCCTTGTGAAGGGAAGGTGTGATGTGGGTTGCTAGAAGTGCATGTGATTTGCGGCCACCAGCTCTAAGGAAATCGTCAGTGATATTATCGAGTCATGGAGCAGTGCCTCTCTTCTTGTTTTCTATCGCAACCTGAACTTCAGAGGATAGGATTCGTGGCGGTTCTTCATAAGTGGGGATTTCGGTGTCCTAGACGAGGAATGTGAAGCAGAAAATATTAGTACAATCTTTCCTTTAGAACCCTTCCGTTATAAATTCCATCTTATGAGAGAATCTAATGATACTCCTATCTTCGTTCATTAGGACGGAAAGCGAAACATTATTGTCGCAGAGGTCCCGTCAGCACTTCTTCAGGCTGGATCGTTTTTGAGCTGCCTCCAACAACTTTTCTGCTTATGCCGATGTAAATCTTCCTGCAGAGATCTTATACAACTGTGTTAGGTGTGTTGCGGTGTGATCAAGCTTCAGCATCTGTTTTTTGAGCAACTCCTTAGTGGTAATGGTGATGAGGTCAAAATTTATAGTTTGAAGAAGTAAGGCAAGTTGGGCACAACTTTTAGGTCCTTCGGCAAGCAGCGTATAGTACCCGGTGAAGTCTTCATCTATCTGCTGGTAATGCGAAAAGAGGACTTTATTGAAAATTTCCTCGTCACATACAATTTTTTTCGTTTTTCTTCTCGATGACAGGAGCTCGTTTCCAAGCTAATAGCTGAGTCGAATCTTTGTGCGGATAAAACGGTGATGAGATCCATTAGAGAATCGAGATACCACTGAATTATGAAAGAGGCACCATTTTCTGTTCGTGAGAACATGATCGATTTCCGCATAGACGTGCTCTTACGAGGCTCCTACATCCATCGCCGATTTTCTTTCTTATCAAAGAATGAACTTTCATGTAAGACACACGCTGGCGACAGGAATCCTACAAGATGGTTTCCATTCTCATTTCGTTCCGAATTCTTGTTCCGAATTTCCCTATCCTGTATTCATTTTCGTGGCCGTTTTTAACCTGGCGTTGAAGTCTTCAACAACGAATTTGTAGAAAGATTTTTCGGTGTGGTTTACTTTCTTCAACGAGTTGTAAAACGCGACCTGTTCGCCCTCATCAACTAAGTAACAGTTAATGATAGTGACTTTTTTCCGACGCGCAAGATGGAGAATAAGAATGACAATGCGCTTTGATATAATTTCTTATGAAGAGACTAGATAGGTGTACGACAAAGCCAGTGCCTCCGACATTTCGTAACGAAAATTTCCTTCCACAAATTACAAGATTTCCGTCACCTAATTGGCAATGTTGGTTCTCTTGTCTTTCGTTTGTCGTATAGATTGTATCTCTCCGACAGTTTACCCCCTCATCGTGGCTGGGAGGTGTTCCTGGGTGTCAGGATACGATGTACAGCGAGCGATTCATCTCCCAGTAGAGTCTCCCAAGCTTAGAAGGAGTCTGGAGTTTTCACCAAGAGGTCCAGCTGAGAGTAAACCAATACCAGGATCCACCACTGGCCTGGTACCAAACTAGTCGCATAGTGACAAATGTCCCTCTGATCGACAAGAGCGGCGACTGCCTGTGGTAATGACGACCTAGGGAAGACTTAGGCTAGACCGACCTCGGGACTCCGGGGAAACACCATGGTTAAACTAACAAAACCCCGGAAGATGGAGGTTATGTTAGGTCCTATACAACCAGTGAGGACGGGCCGTCTAAGTATTCAAGTATCCAAGTATCCAAGTATAGGTTGTATGTTAATAAGTTTGACTGCGAACTTATTAACATGGTCAGCAAATTCATATGACCAAGTTTATTCAAACATTGCTAGGTTTTTGCAAAACCAAAAATGTTCAACCCATCTTCAAACATTTTTTATGACGAAAAATATAAGCAAGTAGACAACGAAGGATAATAAATTGCAAGAAAAAACCTTTCCAAACATAATTTCGCTTTCGGAACCACTTCGTTTTAGCCCTGGCGCACCGTCCTACCGTCCTGCTTCATACTACTCTTCTGCTAACGATCGTCCAATAAATAATTTCGCTTACAGAAAGGTTAGCAGTCCAGGACATTTCGCCGTTTTGCCAAGGCTCTAAAAATTATTCCGATAGGAGACCACATAGCGTTATTAGATTAGCGCAATTCAGCTGGATGATCCATACAAAGTTGACATGCATCGTTCTACAGATTTCTGTAGAAACAGACTTGACGACGGGCTTGGCTACAAAAGAGTACCGTATGAATTGGAGATAGGAGGTTTCCGTCACTTTTTTTTGCTCTAATTTTGTTTCGCTATGTTTTTTTTGCTTGGTTTGGACTTTCAGCTTTATCAGGTGCTGGTCAGTCAACGCATTCATTGGCACCTGTTGCACAGGAATCTAATGCACCGATTTTAAACAGGTACAGCGGCCCATTTACTTAGTGCTTCTTTACTATTAAAATTTAAAAGGTCAATAGTAATCCCCGTCGGTGTTACCTATGGTTGCAATTATTGTAGTTTATAATCTGAACTTTATATTGCACTTTTCTATTCTGAATAATTCGTTTCGTTCGCTACGGTGGTTCGTTACATTGTAAACAGTATGTCAGTTGAGCGTGGAGCTTGCTGCTTGAGAAAACATACAGCTGCTTTGTACCACACTTCTTATTTTTCGCCGAATAGTTTCGATGCTTGAGAAGTACGCCAGAACCAGACGGCCCTGTCGGGACGGTGGATCTACCACAGAAGGCGTTGGTCGGTGTGATAAACTCAAACCACTGTCTTTGTTCGTGTTGTCCTCCCACTTTACTAGACACGTGTACACTGCTACGGTTTTCTTCGTGGTTTTCATTTTTAGGTTAAGCGCTTGAACTGAAAACAGTTCGAGCAATAGACCACCTTTACAGACAATCGAGAAAATGTTTTTAGGGATTCGGAAGAGTATTTGTTACTTGCATTCAAAGTGTGGTTTTGTGTCAGTTCGTATTACGAGGTGGCACTTCGTTGTTGTCTCGTGCATCAGCGAATGACACATTAAATTTTTATGTTTTCCAGAGCTAGACTTCATGAGATATATTTTATTCCAAAAACTTTCCGCTTCCAGATTTTATAATAGTTATTTTCCTGGTCAAGGAAAATTAACCCTTGGTAGGGACAGTAGTGTAACCGCAATTTTTTGGGATCTTTTTATGATCTAAATTGAATTGTGTGCTGAACTTTACAGTCTTGTCTGAAGAAGTATAGGCTTAGTTGTCACACCTCATCCTGTAACCTCCCATGTACTCTCATGCTTTTTCAGGTTGCGTTGATTCAAACTTTTGGTTGGTTGTAATTCAAACGATATCTCTACTACATACGCAACTTTATGAATGTACGCATGTAGTGGGTGGCTATCTGATTCAATCCTAAACCCAATACGCATGAATTCATTCCTCTCTCCGTGAACACTTTATAATATTGGTATAATTGCATCCACCTGTTTTAGCCTTTTGTCCTAGGGAAGATAGTGGTAGTAGTTCCTCCTCATTCAAACGATAATATTCACTTAGAAAAACTCATGAAACGCAAATGTGAAAGCTTGCTTCCACAACGAATATGGTTCAATGGGATGAAACGGTGTCATTATTCAGTACATTCGGATACCCCTGCTGATCGCAGTGTTGAACATGAAGCGCCAAACACGGCCTAGGCTTAGACATAACAGCAAAGTCCCTTGGTTAGTGTTGACACGAACATGGTTACCAGGACGTTACTGGTGCAGTCTGGTTAAGCTTGGTAACGAACCATGCTCTGCGGATGAATTTAAAAACAGACGTCTTTGCACCCCTCTCAGAGGTCCCTGGGTATCCTAAAACCTTCACGAACACCACTACCTCGAGAACTCTTAAATTTCTTCAGATCTAACCAATTTAAATTTTTGTGTTTTTGGTGGACACGAACACCATCGTGCACTATCTCACTGTTCAATGACGACATTTAGATTTCAAAACTTTAAAGGCAATAATTTTTGTCAAGTGAAATGCATCTAAAACAGTTTTCGAAGAGATCTGTTGGCCGGCCCGCTCAACTTGCATCATTTTATGAAATCTCAATTATTAAAATCATCTAGAATTCGTCAAAAGACTCGACGAGTGCCCAGTAATGAGAGCGAGAAGTACTCCTATACCCGAGCCCGTTCAATGGACCGGAAGCAGTCCCTGACCGATGAACATGGATACGGAGGTTATTGTTACCTTTTGAACAGAAACTGAAATACTTATCTGTTGCGATAAATTTTTATGTTTATTTATCTTTTTATCTTATGTAGAACGATTGTGGCATTCCTCACTAGATTGTTAAGTAGATGACTGAATATTAGTAATATTTTTAAATCTACATTGCAATGTTTTATCTCTATTTTTCAACAGATCACGGATTGGCTTCACTTGTTATTCATTGCATTCATTTCTCGTTCATCTTATTTCAACTCTTATTATTTATTTCCTTCTTCTTCTCATGTTTTTTTTTCAAATGAAGGTGGATTTAAAACCTCACTCAAGGTTTCTGGCACATTCGCGACCACAGCTATCCTTTGGGAACTGCTGTACTAAGCTATTCCTTTTCGCTTCAGAAGTCTTCCTCACTTCAGAGACATTGCTACGCATCCCCACCCGCTTCTGGTGACAAAAGTCCTCTGTGTTAACCTTTTTGCACTTTTAGGCTTGGTATCAAGCGCAGTAATGGCGCATCCTTGTACCCTCTTGATCACCTGCAGTATTTGTTTTATTCTATAGGTAGATTAAACAAGGAATCGTCATTGGATCCGTCAAAATAAGCACCTTCCAACAAGTGTTTCCTGCAAATTTTGATATCTGAAGAAAATGGATTTCTTGAACCATGTCGGATGCATCTATCTCAAAGAAGCTTTCGGTATATTTGAAAATATGTCGCAGAAAATGTTTGTAAGGAAAATGAGGCAATCGGAAAGAATGTGAACTGTAAAGGTCTCACATTTTCCAACCACATGCATTCATTACGACTTAATGGTCACGACTATTTAAAAACCCATTTAGATATAATTGAGTTTCTGAAAATCAGCGAATCCCCTTCAGGAGAACTTCGTACCCGACTGATTTCACCTGAACCTGTTGGAGATTACACTTATGTGAATTACCATGATTCGTCGAATGGAAGACCGAATGGTATAAAGGACGAAAAACGATTGCCAAGGAGCATCCTCAAGAACAAGCAGGTAAATTTCTACTCTAGTGAAAGCTGTTATTCCAATTATTTCAAAGCTGTTCATATCTCTTCGGAATGTACTGCTTCAGAGTGTTGATATGGAGCAGCGAAATGACATGGCGGACAATTTCACACGAAGAAACGAAGATGTCGCCGTGGGACCGGTGCGCTCGGTTCGTTTGCCGAATTTCTACGAAGTTTCATAAATCATAGTACTTTTTCTTACAAAGACATAAATATTTTCTAAGGTTTATTTGTGCACTGACCCAATAGCTCCTGCATTCTTGATATGCTTTGAAGAAAATTTTGTCTGAAACTCCACAAGGTGCCGTGATGCACAAAAATGTCGCATTTCCAACCGTATATTCATCGATTGATAGGTGTAAGACCTTCATTTTTAGGTTTTTGACCGATTACGGCGTCATCTGTCTCTGGAAAAGAGCGCGTCGCCACAAGGACAGGTATGAGATAGCCTCGAAAACGTTTTGAAGTTACAACCACAAATGTAAGAAGTGCTGGGATCCGCACAGTAAACGTGAAGACGTGCCAAATAAAATAAAATGAAATGAAAAAGATACCAACCTCGTGTTTGCTCATTGAAGAAAAGCAGTGATTTTTCAATCAATACCGAGTTCAATAGAAAGTCGGTCTTGGTAATTGCTGCTTTCTAGTTTTTGCAGACGTTTTCGTGTCCATTAAAAAAGCAATCGATGTTGTGACCTACCTCATTGAATGAACATAGAGATTTTCCCTTATTACTCTACGCTTTTGTTGTCGAATCATCTCCTCCCTCCTCCTCGAAACTGCGAATCTGTGAGCCTACGAATTTGCAACTAATTCACAAATGGGCGCACGCCTTCGAAAATTATTAACGGAGTTCATTTTATTCACTATGTTATTTTGTCCGAACAAACTTCCTTATGTAGTCATTTGGTGAATTTCTTAGAAAAGAATCTAAAGATGCTTCTTCCTATTCCATAAGTGAGCAATAATTGAGCTTCTCATGGCGCCGAATAACAAAACACCGAATTCGTTTTACCTCAGGTACTATCTCAACAGAAGGTGTTGGGTGGCGGGACAGGTGCTATGACATCACTCACCACTCCGAACGCTAAAGACTCGCATGATCGAGGCTTTGATCATAGTCAGTTAGTAAATCCAAGTTGAGCTTTAGCAACAGTCGTATTGTAATAGTAATTTTCAGACTCTAAAAAGAAGCGTTCATTACTATCGTTTAATAGAAGAAGAACCAGCGAAGTACGAGTGGATCCCGACGGAAGGCTGGTTACTAACGGGTGAGTGATAAACAAGAATTGATTTAAAAAGAGCTTGAGCAATCTATCTTTTGTGCTTTTTTGTCTCCTCTTTGGCAATCGAAATTATGGCCCATTCGTAAACATAAGCCGTGAGGATTCATATTATTGATTTGAAGAAGAATAATTCCATTGCATCATTGCTGACGAAACTGACTGTATCACATCGCCCTGCGTTTAGTGTTTAGTGGGCTGATCCCTCTCCTTCAATCCTTGCTAGGGCTTCCGAGATTCGCAATAACTTCGAGGTGCTCGAAAAATCTTATCTTTATGATATTCACAAGCGGATCAGACCACCACATTGGTGGCTTTCCTGTTTTGTTCTTAACATTCTGTGCGATGTAAGCGTTGACTACCATAACCCAGTCGTTTTCATCTCGGCAAGTATATTGGGCCCGGTTGATTTCTGAAATCTTATCGTGCATTTTCTACTATCTACGTGTATTATATCTTTAGGGTGCACGAAGCATAAAGACACATGGTTGGTCGGCGGTCCGACCTCCAGCCGAGGCTTCCACCCTACAGGGTGCCAGACTTTTCTAGTAGAAGCTCCACATCAACAAAGGCATTAAATGCATCGTTTTCTTGTCCAGCAATCGCGAGGTTGTTATGCATCACACATTTACTTCCACAGAAAAACAATACAATACAACAGTAGCTGACGTTTCGGCGGTATCGCCTTCTTCAGAGCATGGAGCGGTATACTGATGTGCAATCTACTAGGCTAAACGCTTCAATAACACTTACAAAAAAAACGAAAAGCTCTATGGCAATTACATGATCAACAGCTTCTCGAAACACTCACTGTTTTTTTCGTGACTTCCAATGAGGAAAGTTAGAACAGCTGATTATAGTCGCATATGGTTGATGACTGAGAAGCTGTTGATCTTGCAATTGCCATAGTTTTTCGTCTTTTTGTAACTGTTATTAAAGACTTTGGCCTAGAAAATTGTATATCAGTATACCCTTCCAGACTCTGAAGAAGGCGATTCTGCCGAAACGTCAGCTATGGTTGTGTTGCATGTGTGTTATTGTGTGGTAGTAAACGCATGCTGTTTAATAACCTCGCGATTGCTGAGTGAGAAAATGATGAATTCATATTCCAATGCCGAGGTTAATAGAAAGCCGATGCTGGAAAAGGCATTAAGCTTTCTATAGGGAAGCTTGGGAGCGCTCAGTGGAACTATCCCACGGTTCCAGCGAGAATAATTTCGACCATGACTCAAAGATATTTATGAAAAGGACAGAGTTTTCAAGTGGCAGTGGAGCCCACACACAAATTCGAAGACCATCGTGATGACAATTGCGAGATAACGAAGCAATTGAAAGACGTGCTGGTATGCACACAACATGTGAAGTCGCGTCATATTTATTACTATTTTTACTGCACTATACGGCGTCACATATTTTACATTGATTGGATCCCAGCAATTCTTTCAATGCATTCGTCTTTTGTACTCTACTAGTTCACTACTTAGTGATACAGTCCTATAGGAAGCAAGTTGTTGGTTCAACCCCATCCCCAACGCGCTCCTCCGATGCATGTGGGAACACATTAGCTCGGCTATCTCCAAAATTGCAAGGAAAATCGACTCGACATTCTACTGTTCATAATGAAGATGGAATCCTCAGTGGACAATGTATGCGTGGAAAACGAATCGAATTCAGGAAGTACTGGGGCCCGCTCAGTAGATGCGATGACGCGTCATGTGAAATTTAGACTAAAAAAACATAGCACTACGCCTTGAAATACATTTGGTAGCTTTGTCAGTAACAGTATCGCTGCAAAATGCAACTACAATAATGCTAAGATGTGGACGAAACTCCGAATCTCAGTTCGGTTTTGAACCCGCTACTATTTTCGTGGTCTCACGTTTCCTTGGTTGGTGTTGTGGATAGTCAGAAAGGGTAATCGTAGGTTGAAAGACGAACTGGAGTTTGGGGTTTTCCTCACATCTCAGCATCCTTTTGGTCATATTTCACATAATACCCTGCTTTGGGAAAAAAAGAATAAGCACTAAACAAACGTTGAATAGTATCATTGTAGTGCTAAAAAACTGAGCCAAATATATATATATATATATATGCGTATATATATGTATGTGCTTATGTCCATATATATGCATATACATGTACGCATATATAGATATGTACACATACACATATGTGTGTATGTATATACATATATGCATACATATAGATAGTCTTATAATTTGCTAGGTTTAGATGTGATGATGCTGTCAATTACAACCGCCCGAACTCCCCAATGGACAAAATAAAGTCGTTGTTCCGCAAAAATGACGCTCCCAACGTTTCATCGGGCCTATCGAGTAGCGACTATTATGCGGGGCGGTCCGTAAAATTCGACGTTTTTGACTTGCTTGTAAAGCTTATTGAGGAAAAAATTTTTCAGTTATCCTGGAGGTGCCGCTAGCGACAAAACTTTTGGGACAAACACGTCCATTAATGTGCCGTCAGCAAGGGAGGTTTACGTACCGCAGTACAGAAAATATCCAGGTGTGTGGCAGTTTTCGCTTCGCACCATCCGTTTTATACTGTTTAAAGCCAGTTACTTCAAAGATAACCAAATTTTGGAAGTCCGGCATTAAATGTAACGTAATATCTATGACGAATTGGTAGGAGATCTACTACATCAGTATTTCTTACTGTTCCTTCATGAAACTGTATTGCGTAGTCTAGAGAGACTAGGTGCCTGCTGGAGTTATTGAGATATTTCTTGTGAACAGGAGGAAAAGTATTCTGACGTAGTTAGAGGTTCTTCCTAATAACTCTGTGGTTGTTGATTTATACTAACCCCAGAAGAAGCAAGCCGTTCATTCCTCTAAGGTCAAGAAATTGGTACCGAACCTATATGAGGATGTGGAAACCTTAACTTGATACATTAGTATGCCCTCGAAATTTATTGCGTCCTCCATTTACCCATTCGGGCACCGCTACGATGCTTGGCAGAATCGATTAAGCACGATGCATGCTTAAGGGATTAATCAAAGCCAAACGCTTTATCCTTTTTACCTTTGTACGACATAAATTGATATCCACTCATATGCGATAGGTTATACGTGACTCATACGTAAGGCATATCGACAGGCAATAGTATCAATTCATAGCTTGGAATGAAAAAAGTGCAGGCGTTGTATCGCAATCCTTCAATATAAAATTAGACGTGAGACTCAATGTTAAGAGATAGATAACGCATTATTGTAGTGTTCTGTCTACCTTAACTGATTTCAAGAAGTAATGAAGTTTCAGTTTTAGTTTAATCACTTTATCCAACTCATGTTTGACAAAGTTAATTTGAAATCGTTATTGTTTCCTCCAGGTCGCCTATATTTTGACAGAAAGTGAGCATCAAATGCAGGAAACAAAGCCTGTAGTCGGCTTGGTTTCGGGACCGCTGCTACTGGCCACTAGTGATTAGTCAGAACTGACTAGAACTGAAACCTTTTTTGCCTTTACACTATTGTTTGGACATTCGAACTGAATGAAAGTCATGAGGTTCGTATCTTTTAAGGATCTGCAAGTCGTGATCCATCATCGGTGCTCAATCGCTACAGCTACACGCCCGGGATGTCTGATCAACGGCGTCATTGGTACGACGATCATAACATGTACTAGAGCACACCACAAGAACTGAACTTATAGTGATTTGGGACTCGTGTGATCAACGTCGGCCAAGTCTAATTCGTATTTTTCGTTCGTTTCTCGTTATCCGTTATCACTGTTCCATTTGCATTGCACCATCGATGTTCTATTACCTGTCAATAACTTCCATTATTCAAATGACAATTCGTCTGCAAGGCCTGTTGTGTATTCATTACAACATAGGAATATAATAATTTCGAGTCCAGTCGACCTGACCATTACAAAGCGCATGCATATCGATTAACGGGCGACTTTCTCTATTTGAGCATTTCTATGAGTGTGCATTTGTTATGGAATTTTTGTGCCTTCGCTTGCTTAATCTGGTGGACTAGTGCAGTATTTTAGACACGACCAGCACGTTCACTATATGCCTTTTGTTTCTGAAAGCTTCCAGCTATATTCCTTCCGCTCTGGTCGGAAATGTCGACGCTTTGCTGGCCTGTCCACCAACTCAATAACTCAGCGCTTTTCTTGTTCAGTTTCTCAGTTTTTCAACGACTTTCATGTACTAGTTGCCAAGAATTCTTCGTATTATTTTAATCTATGTTTTTCGTAGCGTAATAGTTTCAGTCAGGGTCTACGGAAGAGCCTCCATAATTTTCTTGAACGAAAATGCTTTATTTCTAATTTATATTCATAATTAAACTATTTCACGATGATAAGGCTGAGTTCGAAATACTAACCTCGAATGTTCCGTTCTGTTGTCCGCCTGTTTAATCCTGACGTATGTGTCTATTCTATAGATCGTACTTCATCTGTTGGTGGCTACTGAATTTTTGCAAACTTTGTTTTGCATAAGTCATTTGTTGTTCTCCGCAATCATAGGATTTCGGCATTTTGCTATTGTATGTTAATCGCAAGCGGATATTTTTCTTCATGTTTACCACGGGCGAAAGTACTCGATAAAATAAAAATGTATTAGTAAGGTATACATCACATTATTGCTGGATTTAATCTTACAGTAAGCCTAAGTACATAACGTTCGATGCCTAATTTCGTTCTGCGGTCGCGTGGGAGGATCTATGTTTTCTTCGTCTACGCGATGAGTCCGCCGTGACTCATGCCTCTTACTTACTTACTTACTTGTATACTTGGACGGCCCCTCCTCACTGGTTGTGCGAGCCCTAGCACAATCTCCATTGTTCGGGGTTTTGCTTGTTTGGCCATTGTGGTTCCTTGTCTCTGAAGTCCCGAGGTAACCTGGCCAAAGCCTGCCTCAGGGCGTCACCACTACAGGTAATCGCCGCTCTTGTGGATCAAAAGAAGATTTCCCACCATGCGACTAGTTTGATATCAGCACGGTTGTGGATCCTGCTATTACTCGGCCGGTTTACTCTTAGCTAGGCTTCGTGATGGAAACGTCGGACTCCTTTTCTCAGCTTGGGAGACGCTCCCGGAGGAAAGAACCTTCCCCCCCCCCCCCCCCCCCCCGCTGTAAATCGTAGTCCGACACCCAGGAACACCTCCCAGCCATGATGAAGCGGTAAACCGTTGGGAGGACTCATTTCTCGACTCATGCCTCATGTGAGACAATGCCAAAATGTTTCCAATATTTTCGTTGTCTTGTGCACGCGTTATAATTTGGTTTTATACATATTCCGTTAGTATTTTCTCCGTCCAATTCCTATCCTGTATGTTCTTCAATGAATCCTTCCATGTTTTGGAACATCGATACTTGCATGTGATAAAAAAGAACTAGTCCATTAAACATGCATTATTCTGTCAGCTGTTAGGAGTCAGCATTCCAAGATATATTGAGTATAGTTCAGGATTTGTACAAATGCATTTATGTTCACTTATGGATAGCGCAGTGGTTAGTGATACCGTTGAATACGCTCATGATGTCAAGCTCGAACCGGCCCCGGGCAAAGAAAGCCTCCATCCCTATGGGATCAAAAAATTGGTACCAGATTTCTCTGCGAGAAACCTCCAACGATTCACAAGCATAAGCTACAGGTTCTGTGGCAAGACCTGAGGTAGTTTTGGTACCGTTATCCCGAGATTCCATATGGAATACAGGCGACCAGAATTCAAGTGCATTCATATGGGAAACAAAATCCTCAACGAGCATTCGAACACATACAAATCATGAGATCCTTGTGGATGACGGGTGCTGGATAACGAAGCTAATGAACTTATTGCAAGGATTCCTTTAATATTTGATGTCGAGGGCACGTATAGCGCAGTGGTCAGAAGCCATGGGATCTATTCCCGCGCACAGAGGTCCACCAAGCCCTTCGCCTGTTCAGGGTCGGTAAATTGCTACCAGACTTGTCTGGGAGGATAGCAGCACTAGCTCTGTACGTCGGTAGGCTACCGAGAGTCATTGTAAAGGCCAGATATGCATTCAGTCAACTACAACGGTACTTAATGAAGTCCGATGTATGAGATTCCATCCCTCAGGGATTGATCAACGCCGAGAATTTTATCCTTTTTTTATGTGGTTTCAGGTCGTATGGAAACAGAATGAGAGATAATCACCCATTTCAAACCACAAATATTATTCATGAAAGCAATTGTGATGAAAAAGGCGTAGAAATTGTATGCTATAAGCCTGATTCATTTAGGGCAAAGACAAATTCCACGTTCGATTCACTGAGAGTGAACCAATGAGGATGGTTGAGGAATAAGAAATATGATCTTGATGGGGTGTGCGGTGAGGGCTGGAACAACATGATGTTCTATGACCAGTATGTCTTCGATGACTGTCATTCGGGAGTGATGGAATTCTTCTTGTTTATGCAGAACCAACAAATTTCTTGAATTAAGGATGAGATTTGAAGTTTTATTACGAACGCATTACGGATAAAAGAGGAATCGTGGAAACTGAGAACTACTAAGGAGATGGGTGAGATTATATTATAGAGATTATACCGTATTATATCGAAACCCAACATGGATTTTATGTGTAAAAGAACAAAGTCGCTTATTTATTCATTATATGGCTCCATATCCTTAGGATTTCAGCGTCTTCTTCGTACTCGCCCTACCCACCGTTGCTGTATAGGGGGCTCTTTCGGAGTCAGACGAATGAGGCCGGTTGTTCTTTTACCGTATTTAGCTTTTGAGAGTCATGCATAGCTTGCTGAACTCTGGGCGTCGGAACTGGTTATACTCACGGGTTCCTTTCATTTTCTCCCTGAGCAAACTCGGAGCTCATATGTTAGAGTCGATTTCTAGCCCACTCCCATCATATACTTCCCTGTCACTTAATTGCAGCCTTTTGGCCGAATTAACTCGTAGAATACAATCCGCTAAACGGGAATACACCCACGCACTCATGCTTCAATACCTCCTCATGAACACAAGAAGCATGTGCCAAATCGGCTTAATAGAAGGCTTAATAGAATAATAGAATAGAGAAGTTTTAATAATAGAAGAAGGAGGTAGTCCGTTTGCTGGATCCACCTGTATCGGGAAGGAAAATCGACAGTCGGAATTTACACCACCTTCGCTTTCCTGTTGACAACGTCTTTATAACAGCAAGCATTATCTAGGGAAACGAATATTTGCCGACTTTGATAACACCTATTGAAACACTGCTTTTTGGCTAATCTCACAAAAACGGTGCTCGTGAGAAACCGATTGGCTTCGTATCCCCCGTTCAAGCTCAACGATAAAAATATCTCCGACTGCTTCAATTACGTCTATATAGGCCGGGAAATCAACATGATAAACTACTTAGCTCGAGACTTGAGCAGGAGAAAGCGAGTGGTTTGGGAACTGGCACTGAGGATGTAAAGAAGTGAATAAACAACACTCAACTCCATGTCCACCTTTTCGACTCTGCGATTCTTCCGGCCTTCATGTATCCGTCAGAAACTACATAAGCAGGATGAAAGATTACCCAGCGTTATTGAACGCGCAGTCGAAAGGACGATTCTACGAGTAACCCGTGTCACACAACTAAGGGATCTGAGGACCCAAAGCTCCGACTACGTGAGCGATCAGAGTTCAAGGACGTCATTCTCTGCGCCATATCGCCAAAGATAATGTGGCCGGAACACGTTATGAGTATAAACGGCAACCGATGAACAAGAGCCGTAAGTGACTTATTGCCCCGGGCTGTCAAACATACAGCAAGAAGACCACCAACCCGATAGTCAGAGCTCTTCACGAAAGCCCAATGAAAAAAGCTATGATGCTCAAAGAGTTCGTAAAGCTAGCAGAACCCACTGGGTTACTCTTGCATGCAACAGAGAGAATTGGAAGATTCACTAATGCCCGCTTGAGTAACTGGACGATAAACGGGACGACAGGTGATACTAGTGACGGCTCCATAGTCTGAAGTTTCTATTTGCAAACTACTATAGCAGGAGGCCCATATCTCACTAATAGTGATGCCTTTCAATACATTATATATCCAAATCCAAGTCTATCCTGGGGCAATCCAATTCTCATTCTTGAGGAGTAGGGAAATTGGTGCTAGACAGCTCTGGGATGAACTCGCTCTCCCCAATTCACAAAAGATGACGAATTCCCGAGATGAAGACCTGCAACTCCAAGCATGCCTAGCCCTGGTTTTCAGGAAGAATCGAATCGACCAACATTCGAAAACTTTCAGAAGACCAAAAATTGTTAGGCAGCAGCCAACCACATAGAAATCCGAAGACCTTCGTCAATGGAGGATGCGAGGGCGTAAGCTGAATAAAGGAAGTGTTAGGATCCTTACAATATATCTGATAACAGGTCCGTTCTGTAGAGGAGAAGACCTACATAATAGGAATAGCGTAGTCCATGGTTTACACAAAGCCGAATCATTTGTGAACCTATACTTTTTTCTCTGAACGCAATTCATTCAGCGTAATACTATTGTTCCAAATACGAATAATTGTTCGTAGATTTAAAGGCATCAGTCTGATATGACGATAGTTGCTTACTATTATGAATAAATCTGAAACAAAGTTATATCAAGAATCTCAAAAACTATAGCCTTCCTTACACAGGATTTCATTTTCCTAAACTTCAAAACT